GGACAGGATACAAGTGTCTTTCCCTCCCACTGACTACTGGATTTTCTACTAGTTTCTGACTGCCCTTGCTCTTCTTGGCTGCCTTCACTGTGGTTTCAGGGCTCTACCTCTGGGTACATGCTTTCTGCTTCTCTCCATCTCTATCCTTGACTTTGTGGGCCTCCTGATGTCTGCATTACCTAGGGCCCATTGGTTTCCATCAGCTCTGGGTACCACACTCCATGAGAGAGTGACAACAGGTCGGCAGGCTCTTGGGCCCAAATAGTTACCTCTCCCTCCAGGACCTGAGTCAGAGCTAGGCACAGTCAGACATCACCAAGGACTGACTACATGCAGAGACCCAAAGAATTGGGGATCAATGCAGAGAGGAGGAACAGAACGGTGTCTTGCGGAGGAAGCTACCATCCCAGCCAGGGGAGGGCATCCGTAGGAAAAAGCAGTCATTATGGAATAGTCGTGAAGCCTTAGAAATGGATGTTTCATGGCCCCTGGGTCACTAAGAAACTGCGTGACATTGAATAAATCATGTCCTGTCTCTGGGCTCCAGTTTCTTCTTCCTTAGGCTAGACAGGACCTCTTGGGTCACCTGGTCCAACCTCTGCTTCTAAGAGAGATGGCTGTCAGTCCCATGTTAAATAGAAGTAGTGGTGTGGCTCTACAACCAGACTGCATGGATGTGAATCTCAAACACGTGCTGGCCTATGACCTTGAACAAGTTCTAAACCTCTCCTTACCTCAGTTTTCCTGTCTGTAGAGGGAAGGTGACAGTAGCAGCTGCATAAAGCTGCCGTAAAGATTGATGGGGTGAATGCAGATGAAGCTGTTCAAGTATACATTCTCTATTTGCACACATACCTGGCACATGTAAGTGCTCAATACATGTTCATTATTGTTAGTATTATTACAAGGGTTACAAAGCTACAGCAGTTCCCTCTCTATATGTGAGCCTGGGTTAGACGCCAGCTGGCCTGGAGGCAGTAGAATGGCTGAGTTGACCTCTGGAGGACCTCTGGTTGCAGGAAGGAAGCTGTTTGGTCCCTCTTGGCTCAGTACACCCACAGAAACCTAGCACTTCACTCCCACCCAGGAGGGAATTCTCAACTGTTAGCATCACCTCTGATAAGCAGCACGAGAGTGGATGGAAGTGGTCTGAGATGAGCCAGCAAGGGAGAGGAGGGTGCAGCTCCAGAGAAAAGGAGGGAAGAAGCACAATCTGAAAAATACACAGCCAGCTTAGCCAGACTTACACCCCTTGGGTTTGGCTCCTTGGCCCCACTGCTGGCTTCCTGCCCAGGACTGAGGTGGGCTGTCTGATAGCAGAGCTTCTGAACACCGTGCAGAGGGCAGAGGTAGCTGTGGGGCTGAATGGGGCTCCAGCTTTATGTCCTGGGGCTCCTTGCACAGGAGGCTGGTCGTCTGGGATGTCAGGAAGAAGGGTCTTAGACGGTGGTGGGCATGGGCCTCCTCAGCTGCTGCAGAGGAAACACCACTGTGTGGGGGGAGGCAGGGATTCCCATTCACTGGGCATCTCTCTATGTACGATACTGTGCAGTGGCTAAGCCAGGCCACAAACCAAGGCAAGCAGTCCTAGACCTGCTGGTAGATAGATGGTCTGGGTGAGATTTTCTGACCTTGGTTTCCTCATCTGGCAAACAGGTATAATTGCCTGCCTTTTTGTAGGGAGGCGGTGGGTTTTCTATGAATTTAAAGAGTCTCATGCTTCAGGACCCCTCACTTACACCAGCCCCTTCCAAGTTCCTAAACTTTTAAATTAGTATTTGTAAAGTAGTTTTATTGATGATGTATAGTCGCCATATACTAAACTACATATTTGAAGTGGACAGTTGGTAAGTTTTGACAGATGTATACTCCTGTGAAGCCATCACCACCATCAAGAGAGTGAAATCCCCATCTTAACCTAAAATGACCTTAACCTAATTTTGTATTTGTACTTTAAATTCTTTTTCTCAAAGAGAGCCTTCCAATTTTTAGATGCTTTAGGCCCCACAGAAATCTGAATTTGCTCCTGTATAGAGAGACTCAAATGAGACCAGGGTTAGAAAGCACTTTGAAAGTACTGGACAGCTAATCAAAAGTAAAAGTTATTTCCTTTATTTAACTCACACCTTTCCCTTAGAAACTAAAGCACTTTATGGGATATCTGACCAACACCTCATCATCTTTTCCGTGTCATTCATTTAATAAATATTTATTGGGAGCCTAGTATGTGCAGGCAGTTTCTAGGTGAAGCATATAAATAAGTAAATAAACAGATGAAAACCCCTGTTCCAGGAGCTTTCCTCTCATGGGAATAGGGAATGGACAGTGCTCTAAATGAGTAAGTCGATCACGTGGTATTAGAAAGTACTATGGAGATTAGTGAAGATTGGAGCATAAACTCAGCTCCAGGGAAGTGAGCTCATCTTTCAGTGGGGTGTTCAAGAAAGATGTCCTCAAGACAATGGCATCTGAGCATAGAAGCCATCAAGGGCTTGTGGGTCTCTGGGGCAGACCTTAGGGTACGCAAAGGCCCTGAGGTGGAAATGGGCCTGGCATGTTCCAGGAGCAGCGGGGAGAGCCGATGGTGCTGGCAGGAGATCAGAGAGGGGCCGAGCTTGGGACCAGGTGCACGAATCCTGTGGGGCTTCCAGGACATTGTAGGGACTTAGACGCTTTTAATCTGAGGGAGGTGGGAACCCATTGGAGGGTGTGTGTTGAGAATAGACTGGGATCAGGGAATTCATGTAGAAGGCTTTCATCATAGTCCAGGCCAGAGAGTGGGGGTGGGCGGTGGGGGACTGGACCATGTAGGGTGAGGGAATGAGAAGTGGCTGGATTCTAGATGCAGTTTGAAGATAGAGCTGTCAGGATTCACTAGTGGACTCATCCATTCATTCATTCATTCATTCGACAAATAGTTGCCAAGTATTGGCGATGTACACCTGAATGGAGATGTGGCCCCTTCCTCTGAGGTGTTGGGAATCTAAAAGGAAAAGACAGCGAATTGATAAGCTGCTACTTGTGTACAAGGTATGGGCTAGAGAAGCAGCGCTAGAACCATATCCCAGATGGTCTTTAAGCCCCTAACAAACTGAAGTGTCCCCTGCCTTCCCCATCCTTCCAGCTTTCCCACCAACCCCAAGACTCCAGCTGTTCTCAACACCACACCCACCAGCACTATAACCAACCTCCTGACTCAGGAACCTTCTCTCTGCCCTTGCTCTGTTCCTTACCCCTGAACTGGTCTCTGAACTAGACAGCTTACATGGGCCTAGAGCATTTTACATTCATTTTACAGAAAAGGAAACTGAGCCATAAAGAGCTCCATTAAATCAAAGTTAAAGTCTGTAAAAATTTGGTTGGAAAAATCTGGGGGGGAGAAACTTTAAAGGGCTAGATTTACAGAGAGAAGGCTGGTTGAGGGTCCAATCTATAGTGGAAACTGACTTGTGGAGATCCTATAGCTCGTGTGTGGAGCTGCTGGGCTAGAGCCTGGCTCCAATATCTCAGTTCTGTGACCTGTTTTCAGTCACCAGTGGTGATGACTTAGTTCTCTTACCAATGAAAAAAGCATTTCTTAACTGCAGCATGAGTGCCTCTAGTTAGACATATGGTAGGACATTCACTGGAGTGCCACAGGAGCCTCTGGAATACCTTTCCCTGCAAAGCTTTGAGAAGAGACATGTTGCTGGATCTCAGTTTTAGGTGTAGACCAGCCCATAGGGTGATGTCCCCAGGGTCTAACCCTCCTCCTCTCCCCCTCCCCATGACACAGACATGCCCTTGCTTCCAGGCCAGCAAGTCTAGACCTCCTGAGGGTGGCCTCTTAATTCAGCCTTGGCAGTGGGGAAAGGTCAGCTGGGGGGCCAGCATGGCCTTGGCTATGCGCTCTTTTTACAACCCAGGTGGCAGATAGCCCACTCGTCCTGCCTGCCCCCTGCATCAGCTGCTTCCTTACTCATAGTCACAGCCCTCCCGCCCAGCAAGGCCCACCAGGTCAGAGTAGACTGGCTGCTGTGCCCTCTGGCCCCAGAGTTGAAGTAAGGAAGTGATAGCTGCTGCTCAAACTCTCTCTCCCTCCCTCTCCCCAACCCAATGTCCTTCTTTATGGTCTCATCCTCCAGTGGTCAAGGGCCAGCTGAGGGCTCACCTGACCACCCAGCCTGAACTGACCCCTTGTCCTCAGAACACACTGCATGTTACCTATCTGTAGCACAAGCCAGAGCCATTGCGGGCACGTTTCTCCTCAGCTAGTGGATGAGCTCTTTGACACAGGGAGCCCCTTTTCATAATCTCATTTATGGTAATTTTCCTGGCAGTTTTCCTGGGTCTCTCAGATGTAGCATTAGCCTCTAGGAGGCTGGGCTGAGTGAGCACCCAGTATTACCTGTTGACTGGTCTCAGAGCCATGGAGCTGGAAATGTGGTTGGCCTAGGTTTCCTTCACTTAATTAAGGGTATCAGGACTTCTCTGGGATACTCAGAGTGTCAGCATTTGTGTCCCCCACGCTCCCTGTTGCCCACAGACAGGACAGAACATCTTGTAAAGGCCTACTCATTTATGGAGGTGGTGGGAACTGTGGGAGCTGCACAGGGGAAAGGCCAAGGCCCAGGCACTTCCTTGCAACCTCCCAAATGTGCAGAAGGCCCCAGGAGGAGGTGGGAGCAGAGAGGCAGCTGTCAGGCTACTGTGGGACAGAGGTGAGGAGGTGGCCAGCGTGGATAAGGGGGGAGGCTCTGAGAGGACTCCTCAAGCTTTGCATCCAGCTGGAGGCCCTGGTACTCCTTGTTCTCAGGTTACTGGTCCCCCAGCAGGACCTCGGCTTCCTCTGCTGCTGGGAGATCCCTGGATCCAAGGACGGCAGGAGGGAACCTGCAGAGTCCTCACCCCAAGACCCCACTCAAGGTGGGCAGAGGGTGTAAGAAGGGACCTCTCAGATCGTCTCCTTTGCCTGCCTTTTCTGCTTCTCCTCCCACTGATGGCTCTTGGTTTCTCCACAGGTCGGAATGAGCTGATTGCCCGCTACATCAAGCTCCGGACAGGGAAGACCCGCACCAGGAAGCAGGTGGGCCCTGAGAGACGGGCATGGGTCCCCAGGACAGGTATCCCCAGCACCAGCCTGCTCCCAGGTGGGCCAGGTCCTTCTCAGGACCAAGTGTGGGCTCAGTGGGGCCAGCTTAGATGAGTTGGCTCTTTTTGGTGAGCCACAAACAGTTCATTTTCCCTTCCGTCCCTGCTGCCATCACCTGGGAGGAAACCCCTCGCCTTGCTGTGGAGTCATCAGCCCCCTTCCCATCCTTCTCCTGGACACCAGAGAACAGAAGGCAAAGCACTGGAACTGCACTTTTATTTATTGCCAAACTATAGCTGGATTAGCCAGGCCTGAGGGCCCCTCATTGACTGACCCTTTCTTTCATTCATTTATGCATCCATTTACTCATTCAGTCCACAGATGTGGATTGAGGCCTGTGGAGGGCTGAGGGTCAGGGAGCTAGGCTGGGGAGCACAGGCCATCTGGGAAATAGGGTCAGGAGCCCTCTCTTCTTGCCATAGGTCTCCAGCCACATCCAGGTGCTGGCTCGTCGCAAAGCCCGTGAGATCCAGGCCAAGCTAAAGGTAAGGCCAGCAGCAGCTGTGGGAGGAAGGACCTAGGACATAAATGGGGCTGTTTCTGGGAAGCTGGGGCTCTTTTTCCAGCAGGAAAGGTCTTCCCTTTGTATTTAGGGGCTGGCTGCTTGTGTGGAGCCAACATGCTTCTTGGTGTTTATGAGAGAGGGGTTCAGCCTATAGCCTCTCCTGACCCCACAGGGAGGGACACTTGACCTTAGAGCCATATGTGTGACGGCCAGGCTCCACAGCATCCTGGGGTCACAGAACAGTCTCCTGCTGTGCTCCCTCCCCCCAGGGGCAGAGTCCTCCCCAGATCACAGTGGATTGCCCTCCAGACCCCACTCCTTGAAGACCTCCTCAAGCCCCTGGCTAGGGCAGTCAGCCAGCACCTGCAGCGTGGTCAGGCATGGGAGGCACTGCTGTGGGTGGGTTGGATGCTACTGTGGGAGCAGGTGGAATTCCTTCCCACACCCTGCTCTCTGGGACTGGCAGTTCCTTCCCCTCCCTGGATCATCCCCTCCTTGAGGGTCGAGTGACAGGTGACTGCTATGTAGAGGGCCAGCTGCTGGTAGCATTCCCCTCAGGGTGGCCCTGCTCCCCACAGGACTCAGGCCTTGACCCTGGAGCCAGGGGACCCTTTTGGTGAATGCTGGGAGGAAGCCGCATCATGGAGGTGGTAACAGCAGAGCCTGCCCAGCCACTTGGTAGGAAGAGCTAATATTTGGGGGCATTAGACTAAGACCAGCAATTTACAAGCATTATTTTTAAAGCAGTAGAAGCCCCTTTGGTTTTGTTTCCCCCAAACAAAAGATCACCCCCATTTGTTATTAAAAGGGTTACTCTAGGTTGGTGAGGAACAGGCTGGAGGCCAGAGACCCCCTCCTCTATATTCACCTCTCATGCCCATGGCTCTTGAACCCAAAAGTACCTCAGAACCCAGTTTAAAAGCCCTGGACTGGATGACCTTGAAGGTCCTGTGTGGCCCCAATGATTCATGATCCCAACTCTTGAAGCTCTGAATGAGTGGGTGGGAACTCCTAGGAAGCCACACCCCACTGCCTGCTCAGCTCTGTTCCTCCTGCCATCAAGTCAGCTGTCCCCCGCCTCCTTTGTCCCTGGACAGCTGGCTGGGCCTCAGCTGTCAATCCCTCCCTCTCAGGCTGGTACATGTACCTCCAGACCACCCCAAAGATCCTGGAGCCCAGTTTGCCCCTAATTTCCCCTCTCTGGTCTGCCTCTGACTCATTGGGACCCTGGGTGGGGACCAGAGTGGAGAACAGACTTTCTACTATTCTGTTTTAGAGTCACCGAGGGGAACTTTTAATTCCCTTGGGGTCTGGCTATACGGCTCACATTTGCTTGGAGGAGTTGCATCTATCCTTGTCCACAGGCTCTAACTTGGGGCCTAGGGACAGCCTTCAGTGGACCACTGGACAGGCATCAAGGGGAGCCACGAGCCCCTTAAATAATATGCAGATTTTCATGCACATGTGTTTTCCCATGGAGATTGGTCTGAGGATTTTATCTCATTCTCTAAGGGGTCTCAGAGCAAGGTCAGGTAGAAATCCTCCAGGTTTCTGGCTTGGTCTGGCCTGGCTCTGCCCTTGTGCTGTGTGAGCTTAGGCAAGTCACTGCCCCTTCTTGAGCTCCATCCAGTCTCCCCATCTGTAAATAACAGGGTTAAGCGTGGTAGGATCTGAGATACCCCCCCTAAAATTCAGTGACTCCTTGGCTCTGTTGCCTGGTCACTGATGTCACTCCCCGTAATGTCCTCCTCACTTACGCTGATTCCTGTTCCACCGGCTGAGGATGAGGTTCCCTGATCCCCAGTGACTTGTTTAGATCAGCTATCGGGAAAGGGATTTGAGTTGCTGACACAGTAGACGGAGCTCTCTGGCCTCTTGATGCAGTTGTAACTGCAGAGTCTGCAGGCTTTCTGGGGTCTAGCCTGCGTGTCCTTCATGTCTTCCTAGATGGAGAGGGAGGGCCTGGGCTGGCTGGCCTGGGTGGGTTTGGCTTTTCCCTCTGAAAAGTGCAGTGTCCTTGGGAACAGGCACACCTTATGCTGATTATTAGCTCGCTCCCCGTGGTATCAGACAGCATGAGAGCAAGACCCAAATTTGGCTTCCAATAGACAGTGGGTTGGGGATGACGCCCCCACTTGGAATGGCTCCTGTGCCCTCTGTGGTGTACACCCATGCTGTCAAATCCAGACATATCCCCAGCCCCAGTGTGTTCAGCCCCCCTGGGCCCACAGGGGTCCAGAGGTGAGTTGATGTGCCAACCCTGGACCAAGCTCGCAGGGCCGATCATTACTACCGTTAGCACCCTAGTCACCTAAATTTTCTGAGCCTTTGTTTCTTATCTTAAAATGGGGACTCTTCTGGTCCTCTCAGCCTCACAGGAGTACTGTGAAGTCCAGAATCAAAGTGAGATAGTGTTCTTGACCTTCCTTGGACTACCTCCTGCCATGTGAGCATGAATGGTCCCTGAGAGGTGGAATGGAAGGCCTGTTGTATTCTGGCTTTGCACCTGTGAGGCACCAGCATGCCGGGTGGGTCACATGGACCCTTCAGAGCCTAATGCTTCGTGCAGGTGATGCCTACCTCATGGGGTTGTGGGGGCCGAGAGAAATCATTGTGCAAAAATGAACTTGTTTATCACTCAGGACAGGTCTGGGTTAAATAATGCTTATTTTTCCTTAAAACATAGAATATCTAATCAGAGCTTTTAAGTTGACATGATCCAACCTTTTAGCCCCAATAAAGCTACACACACCAAACAATACTAGCTGTTCCAGTCTGCATACGTGGTCTTATTTAGGACAAAGACACAATTTGCATTAAGCTTTTTGAAATATAGAATGTTGTCTTGGTTTTAAAGACCTTTGGGCTCAGGATAGGAACCAGGCTTACACATGTATAAAAAATTATTAGTACTATTGTCCCTGGCCAGGTGGCTCAGTTGGTTGGAGCATCATCCCGTATGCCAAGAGGTTGTGAGTTTGCCTGGCTGGCATGGCTCAGTGGTTGAACATCTACCCATGAACCAGGAGATCATGGTTCGATTCCTGGTCAGGGCACATGCCCAGGTTGTGGGCTCAATCCTTAGTAGGGGCTGTGCAGGAGACAGCCCATCAATGACTTTCTCTCATCATTGATGTTTCTGTCTCTCTCTCCCTCTCCCTACCTCTCTCTGAAATCAATAAAAAACTTTTTTTTTTTCTCCTAAAAAAAAGGTTGTGAGTTTGATTCCCAGTGAGGAGGCAACTGATCGATGTTTCTCTCACATCAATGTTTCTCTCTGTCTCTCTCTTCCTCTTTCCTCCCTTCCTCTTTCTCTAAAATCGGTAAACATATCCTGGAGTGAGGATTTAAAAATTATTAGTACTACTGTTATTATTAGCAGTGTCATAAGTCTGTGCATGGTGACTCCATTCTTCAGGCTGGACCCACGGAGGACAGCCAGCCAGTGTTTACATTCTGACCTGTAAAAGGCAGGGAGTGCTTCGGGCCCCCACAGTGCAGGGGAGATCCACAGGACAGGTAGGGTCACAGAAGATTGTCCATGCCTCCAAACAGTCCATGTGACCAAGGACGGTCCCCTGCTCATTCAGTGGAGATCTGACAGATAATTATGTATCATCTGCCATGAGCCAGGTGCTGCCCCAGCCACCAGTGGTGTGGGAGGTGAGCATGGACTAAAAGGTTCCTGTTCTCAACTGGTGGTTGTCAGAGGGGAGAGGGTTGGGGAGAGGGTGAAAAAGGTGAAGGAGAATAAGAAGTACAAACCTCCAGTGTTAAAATAAATAAAACACAGGGATGTCGTGTACAGCACAGGAAATATAGTCAATAATATTTGCCAACATTGTATCATGATGGATGGTTACTAGACTTAGTGTGGAGATCATGTCGTAAGGTATGTAAATGTCAAGTCACTATTTTGTACATCTGAAATTGATATGCTGTATGTCAACTATAATAATAAATTATTTTTTAGTCTGAAAAGTAAGTAAATAAATAAATAACAGGTCCCTGTTCTCAAGGTATTTCTGTGGTTAAGTAAATTGAAAGATATGGTCTAGCAGATGGTCTCCAAAGTCTCTTTAAGTTCTAGTCAAATAGGCAGAACAAGTATTATGCTTCTTAGACAGATGAAGAAACTGAGCAGAGAAACCACGTGACTTGCTCAGACTCACAAAACAAAATAATAGCTTTGCAAGGACATAAGCCTGTTCTTCTGGGGCCTAGTCCAGGGCTCTAACTGCTGGTAGTGGGACAGCTTCCCTGACCACAAGCCCTCCCTGCCTCACCTCACCACTGCTGAGGTCGTCCCTTCCACTGTCTCCCCCCAGGATCAGGCAGCTAAGGACAAGGCCCTGCAGAGCATGGCTGCTATGTCGTCCGCCCAGATCATCTCCGCCACAGCCTTCCACAGTAAAATGGCCCTCGCCCGGGGCCCTGGCTGCCCAGCAGTCTCAGGGGTAAGTGGGGCTGCCTGGAGCCAGAGGCCAAACCAGCCCTCTCCTTCTCGCTCCTCCCCCTTCTGCAGGGCCAGAGCACCAGCCAGCACCCTCTCTTGAGTCCTGTCAGGGCAGGAGAGCCAGGGGGAAGGAGGGACCAAGGACTGAAAGGCCGTGCTGGGTCACGCTCAGCTGGTATTGGAATCACCTTCTCAGGGGCCTTGGCAGGGACACAGCGGACCTTTCACAAGGGATAAAGTTGCCCCCATTCGCTGACCACCCAAGAAGCTCTACAAAATTGGCTCAATTTACAGAAGGGGAAGCTGAAGTCCCGGGGATGGGCTGAAGCTGAGGCTGTGGGGCAGCACCAGCATGACCCTGGGTGGCTACTACTTGGCCTCCGCCCTGCTGCTCCCTCAGGTCCTCAGCACTGCTCTCCCAGCTGGAGGGCTGATGTCCATGAACAAACTCCCATTCACATTTTAGATGTTTTGGTCTAAGAACTGGCCTCAGCCATGGCCAGGTTGGTCACACTTTCAGAATGGTCCAGAGAGGCTCCCCCTTTCCCGGGCTGTGTCCTCATAGGGTTTTCTTGGCTTTAGGGATTAAATGGGTCTTCAAGAGCCTCCCTAGAGGCAGTGACAGGCCCTGTCCTGGGCTCCGTGAAGCTCTTGTCTAGCATTTTTTCAAAGGGTGTTCCAGAGAGCACTAGTCCACAGAATGTTTAAATATAGGGTGTCCCCCCAAAATGTATACACACTTTGAAGAATTATAAAGGCAGTGTTTGTACTTCAAGTGCATTCTCAAACTTCCAGTAGCATTTTAGGATGAATTTCCTTTGTTCAAAGCTTCATTTGGCTGAAAAGAAAGAAATAGCAGTTGAGCTATCAGCTGTTAAAGAGTGTATACATGTTTTTGGGACACCTTGTAGATATGACACAAAGTGATTCTGTGCATAAGTTAGTCTGAGGCACTTAGAACTGACTAGGTTTCCTGACTCCAGGACTGTTCAGAGCCTTACGTGCTGCTGTGACTTAGGATCTCTCTCATGGAGGAATACAAGATGCTGTTTACCAGACTGGGTGCTTCTCCCATGGAGCACTGAATCAGCAGAGCATGCCCTTCCTTGAGACACACTTTGGGATGCTGCTGTAGCCACACACTAGATAGTAGCATTAACTCTCTCCCTACCATGCACTGGTCCAGCTGAGGCCACAGCAGTCTCCCCACACCAGGGACCTGTACCTTCCAGCTGAGACCACAGCAGTCTCCCCACACCAGGGACCTGTACACATGGGCTGTGCTGACTCTATGCTTTTTGCCTCCTCAGTTTTGGCAAGGAGCTTTGCCGGGCCAAGCCGGAACATCCCATGAGTGAGTATGGCCTGCTACTAGTTGCTGCCTGAACTGACCTTGAGTGCATAAACTCATGAAGTTGAGCCTGGGCCCCAGGGTGGGCAGGGCTGCAGTCTGGGGTCTACCTTTATTATGCCTTGAGCTTGGGGATCGGGCTGTCCTGCTGTCAGGCAGCAGCTCAGCCTACATTGTGGACACCCTGGGGTCTGTCCATGGGTTGCGACCCCAAGGGAAGTAGGCTAGGAACCAGGGCTCTGGCTGACCTAGGAGGGAGAGACAAGGCAGGGGTGGATTTTTCAATAGACATGCTGCTTCTGTGGATCAACCATGAAACCTGAGGGAGTGGGAGGCAGAGCCCACCAAGGCCACTGATGACCAGACCACCCAGCCTGCCATAGAGAGCGATGGCTGCTGCTTGAGGCCCTGGGGCTGAAGCCTGCCCAAGGCTTACACCTCCTTTCTCCTGTCTCCCGCAGTGTGAAGCCTTTCTCTCAACAAACCTACACTGTCCAGCCGTCACTGCCTCTGCCAGGTGGGTCTGCGGTGCACAGCTCCCTCACCCATCACACCCCTGCGGCTCCTGTCCCCAGGTCCCAGGTGCCTGACAGCTGGACACCTGCCCCTCTTAGATGCCACCTGGCATATGCTAAGACCGTGTATCCCAGTCTCCTGGCTCCCCCATGCCCTGTCCAAGCACGTGCGCTTCTCCCGTGTGCAAGCCCCTTCCTGCCCCTCAGGTTGCCTGTTGTCTTTCCCATCCTGGGCTCAGGTTCACAGGGGCTCACACAGTTTAAAAGGCAGTGCCTGTCACCTGGGCAGCTGTTCCCCTGCCACCCCTGTCTGCTGCATGTGTGCCTCACAGACCTTGGCTCCTGAGATGGCCTCCCTCTTGGTGACCCTGTAATCCTCTCCTTCCAGCCTGGAAAGGGAACCCTTTTTAGCAGAGGGAACCCTCCTGGGAAGAGGCTAGGAGCATGGGTAGGGCAGGAGCAGGTCCAGCAGCTGGGCCAGCACAGGAGCTTGTCCCCTTGAACTGCTCAGGTGACCAGCCCTTCCTTGCCTCTTTCTCATGAGGGTCCCTCATCATGTTCCACTCTGCAGGACAAAACAGAATCCTCGCCCTTCGGCACCTTTCCTGGCTTGGGGGTAGCCCCTGCCCACCTTCTGCCTGGCTCTTCCTGCTTGAGAGCAGCCCTGCTACCTCCTGGGTTCCTCCGTGCTGTTTTCTCCAGCCCCATGCAGCCCCTCCACCACCACCACCACCTTGCCTCACCTCACTGGCCTCGCTGTCCTTGCTCAGGCCTCCTAGACCTTGCCTAGATTACTGTGGCAGCCTCTTAAAAGGCTCCGGGTCTCTAGTCTCTTCACCCCATAATTCACCTAGTTGTCTTTTAAAAGCACCCATCTCACCATGTTGCTTCTAGGCATAAACCCTGTAATGGCTCTCTGGTGCCTTCAGGATACAATCTAAACTCTGGTAGGACTTGCTGGGCTCCTCTGTTAACCTCCTCTCCCTCCCCTCTCTCTTGAATCCTTCCTTCTCCCACCACCACCCTCCCTGCCTCTGGACTGTGGCTCAGGCTCCCCTCCCTCAGGTTTCTCTGCCTGCCCCTGGCCCAGCTTAGGTGCCCTGCTGTTGGCACCTGCGCACTCCATGCACCCCCACCTAGCACCTGACTGTTGTAATCTGTGTGGCTGATTTGCCCCAGCCCTCCACGTAACCTGTCCTGTCCGGCAGTCAGCAGTTCCTCAGTATGCATGCTGGAACAAATGAGTTAGTGACTCAGCCGATGCATTAAGCACAGGCTAATGTGTCTGCCCTGCACGGTCCTCCTCCTTCCCCTCTGACTACCGTTTCTTCTCCATCTTCCTCCTCCGACCTCAGCCCCTGGAGCCTCCATTCATCAGACTCCCAGGCTGTAGGAAGGCTGGTGTCACCTGGAGGTCGGCCTCACTGCTCTCTCATCCTGTCCTGTCAGTCACGAAGGCCTGGGCTTGTGCTCGCTTCATGTCCCTACTGTGTCCCTTCCTCCTCACTCCTGTGCACTGCTTCCTTCAGATCCTGCAGAGACCTTGCTTCTGTCTGCCTCACCCTGCCTGTCCTTCCTGCAGACTGGAATAGGGTCTTTCAGAAATGCATACCTGAGCACTTCCCTGCCCTACTTAAAATCCTGTCACTCTCCCGAACTCTCAGGCTAAAATTCACTCTTCTTAGCCTAGCCTATCTCTGCAGCCTTGTTTCCTTCCATAAACCTGCCCTTCTTTCCAGTTCTACCAGACTTTAGTTTCCAATTCATGGAGCATGTCACAGCCCCCAGACCTTTGCCCCTGCTGTGTCCTCTGCTCAGATCACCCTTTCCCTGGCTTCACCTTCTGCTGTCTACTTCTACATCATAACTTCTTTCAAGCGTCACCTTCTCTGGAAAAACCTTTCTGACCATCCCCGAGTTGGACTAGGAGCTCCTCTTTGGTGCTGAGTGCATACCTTGTCAATTTTTATCCCATTCATGACTTCCTCTGTTAGGAATGCCTATTCTAGGCCACGCACTGTGCTCGGTGCTAGAGAGACAGCAGTGAACCAAACAGGAAACTCTGCCCACGGGGCTCCGTCATTCTAATTAATGATTTGTCTGGTCAGCTCCCCAAATGGACCAGAAACTCCTTGAGGGCAAGAACCTAGCAGAGCCTGCTCTAGAAGCCCTTTCAGTCCAGCAGGCATCTAGTCCCCAATCCGGCATGCAGCCTTCCTGGAGTGTAGTTCTGTGTGGGCTGAGGGGACTGAGTAGTACCAGGCTAAGCCCTCTCTGCCAGGGCTGCTCCTGGACTCACCAGCCAGTGCTCTGCACTCCCCTACACCACACCTGTCAGGGCCACTTTGGGGGAGAATGGAAATTCCATGGCCAGCACAAGATCTCACCAGTGGGCCTGGGGTCCTCACAGAGGGTACTGGCAGGGAGGGTGGGTGTAAACAGGCTCCCTTGTGCTTCTCCCACTGCCTATAGGGTTTGAGTCTCCTGCAGGACCCACCCCATCGCCCTCAGCGCTCCCCGCACCCCCGTGGCAGGGCCGCAGCGTGGCCAGCTCTAAGCTCTGGATGCTGGAGTTCTCTGCCTTCCTGGAGCAGCAGCAAGACCCTGATACGGTAGGTGCCAGCCTCTGCCTGGCTGCTGCTTCACCCTAGAGCTCCCTCGCCTTCTCCAGCTCTTGTTCCACCTGCTTCTGGCTTTCTGGCCCAGCCCTCCTGCCCCATTCCACTTTGGGTTTTAACTTAGGTTCCTCATTTCTTTACAGCCTTTCCTTCCCTTGAACCTCTCTCCCCATTTCCTTTCTTTTTTCAGGCCACCTCCCTCTTCTTTCCTCACTTCAGCTTCCCTCTCTCCCTATGTAGCTATTGCTCCAATCCCGAAGCCCTCCCAAGGTTTCTTTGCTCCATCCCGGTTCTCTCAGGCCCTCTTCCTTTCCTGCTCCCTCTCTGACCTCTATTCTTCCATGTTCTCTTTCCTCCCTACCCAACCTCCTCCCAGTCCAAAGTTGCTCATCCCAGCCCCACCCCCAGGCTCTCCCATCCTTTCCCTGTGGCTCTGAGGCGCCTCTAGGTTCTGCCCCACATCCCTGGGAGGCCAGCTGGGAGCAGAGCCCTGCCTTTACCCTGTCTCCTTCGGGTTCTTGTGTCCTGGATGACCAGTGTCACCTGCAAAGGTCAAAGCAGCACCTGGAGGAGGCTGGGCCAACAGGGACTTCGTGGCCGTCTCACTTTGACATTTCCAAACTTGTTTTTTAGCCGAGGAACCCATTAATCAGACAAGCTCCTACTCAGAAGTCCAGTGTGTACAACAAAAGTAGATTTCTTTTGGATGTGGCAACAGAGGCACCCAGCCCCTGTCTCCAAGGGTGGAGCTCAATTTGAAAACACTTTATCTAGGTTAATAGTCTTACCTCACAGATGAAACAGAGGCACAGAGGTAGAAAAAGACTTGCCTAAAGATATTTCCTGACAGAGGCAGGACTAAGATAATACAAATAACAGCTACAATTTGTTGAGCACCTACTGGGTGCCAGGCACCACACCAGATGCTTTATACCATTAACTTGGCTTTACATTCAATCATTTGATTGTCTCCATTTTACCAGTGAGGAAACTTGAGGTCCAGAGAGGTGAGGTTACTTGCTCCAGGTTGCATGGCTGGGTTCTGAGCTCTGGTTCTGTCTGCCCTCCCTCAGACCAGCTGTTCTCTCCACAGTACAACAAGCACCTGTTCGTACACATTGGCCAGTCAAGCCCAAGCTACAGTGACCCCTACCTCGAAGCCGTGGACATCCGCCAGATCTATGACAAGTTCCCAGAGAAAAAGGGTGGACTCAAGGAGCTCTTTGAGCGGGGACCTTCCAATGCTTTTTTTCTCGTGAAGTTCTGGGTAAGCCTTCAATAGACTCTTCCATCCTACCACCAGCACATCGATGACAGTGAGGAGGAAAGAGGAGGAGTGGGCATGCGGTGCCCTCGCCATGGTGGAAATCTGGGAGGACAGGGCCAGTGAGAAGGGGAGGAGCATGTAGCAATGGCTGAGACCCGGAGTCGGGGCAGCAGGGCTGGAGAGCTGGGCTAGCACAAGGCCCTTTTCTGATTTGTGGTAATGGCAGCCATGCCTGGGCACAAGGATGGCCTTAAGAAGGCTGAGTACTGAAAGAAGGCTTACAGGAGATACTGAGGGGTAGGTGAAGAGCCTACATGGACCCCTAATCACCTGAATCTTTGAATGAAATGTCAAGTTCTGAGTTGGTTTCAGGGCCTGGAGTGGGACAGTTGATCCCTAAAAGCTCATGTCCAAGGACAGGACTTAGAGAAGTGGGACTGTAGGGTTAGGAAAGGTCACCCCAAAGGAAACACCCACCCATCTTTACAAACAGCTCAGCCTAAAGCTTGGTCCCCACTGCCCTCCTCACCTCACCCCTGGACAGGTGTTATGTGGGCAGAGTTCCCTCCTTTTAAAACATCTTCTCTAAGACTAGGAGACATAAATAATACCTTCTCTGGAGCTTACTTTCCAGAGGGCCCAATACACACAGAAAAGGTATACAGGGAAGAGTCAGGATAAGTGCAGACCTAGCCAGCAGCGAGGAAGCATAGGAAATCATCTGGTTTGTGACTGGAGCCTTTGAGTAGTTTCTGAGCATTGACACCAGCCTGGGCTGCTCCTCCCATATTCCTCTCCCTAGCGCTCTTGTTAACACCCAGGAGACAGCTCAGGGATTCTCACCCCTTAGGAGGTCCCTGGCCACTTTGATTATCTGAAAGCTTTACTTTTCCTAGAAATAGACATATTCACACTAAACTTTATATACATTTCTAGGTGGCTTTCAGGCCCCTGGCTAGGATTCCTAGCCTAGCTCTCATCCACAACCAAACCCGTGAGACTACCTCTCTCCAGAAGAGGCAGGTGCTGGAACTGACTCAAGGCCCCTGGTCTCTCGGGTGCTTAATATTTGCACTCTGCAAGACAGCTCGTTCTGTGAGCAGGATGGCAGCTGGACCTGGGCCTTTAGGGGTGCGCAAGATCTGTTAGGCAGAGATAGGGAAAGGCTCATTCAGCCTGGGAGAGGCATAAGGAAGTGGACTTACCTGGGGCAAGTCCCAGGTACAGATGTATGAGAGAATAACAGAAAATAAAACTGCAAAGGTGAGTTAGATCCTTGAAGGTCCTGATCATACAAAAGTTTGGGTTTTAATCTACCTTGGGATGAAAAACAGGTAATCGTTTCTTTTACTTTTATTTTTAAATCAATGCATGCTCATAGTTATATTATTTAATACCAAGAGGTTTATAATGAAATGCATCAAATTCTTGTCCCATACCTCCCCAACTCCAGTCCCCAGAGATAATTGCTGTAATTTTTCAGTTTATTCTGGCTTTTATCTCCTTAATTCTAAATAATATGCTTATACTGACATACCTTGATATCATGACTAAGACATTTATTCTTATGGTAGAAAAAGTGTTATTCCACTTTCCCTCATCATCCCAACATTTCTGAGAATTTTGTGTATTGATTTTAGAGAGAGAGGAGAGGGGAGAGAGAAAGAGGGGGAGAGAAACAATGACTTGCTGTTCCACGTATTCATTCATTCATTGCTTGCTCCTTGTATGTGCCCTGACCAGAGATCGAACCTGCAACCTTGACATATCAGGACAATGCTCTAACCATGAGCTACCCAGCCAGGGTGTCATCATCTCGGTGTTATCATATCTAATAAGTTACGTAATTTAGTCAAAGCCAAGAAGTATATTGTGATTAATTTTATTTCTATAGTTTTTTGGTTTTTTTCCTACCAATAAATGGCTTTCTCACTTGCATATTTTAATTTAATTTTATTTTTTAAAAAATTTAAAAACTATATCTTTATTGATTTCAGAGAGAGGAAGGGAGAGGAAGAGAGAGAGAGAAACGTCAATGATGAGAGAGTTATTGATTGTCTGCCTCCTGCTCGCCCCCAACTGGGGATCGAGCCGGCAGCCCAGGCATGTGCCCTGACCGGAATCGAACAGAGATCTCCTGGATCCTAGGTTGATACTCAATCACTGAGCCATGCCTAGCTGGGCATCACTTGCATATTTTTAAGTAAACCTATTATTGAAATTTTACAGATTGCTGCATTGTAACTACCATATAAAATAAAATAAGAAATTCCTCCAAATGTTCAGACATATCAGGTAATTTATCAATTCCCCCTTTCTCCTAGAGACCTTTCTCCTGGATGTCTCTGTTCTGCTCCAGTTTAACTGTTGGTTCTCCAGCCTGTTGTCATCCCGAGACCTTTTTTATTGGAGCATTCCTATGTTGGATCTGCAGTTTCCTAGATCTCATTTTTTTTTTCTGTTTTGGTGTCCTCCCTCATTTGCTGGGACACATTCTCTAGTACCTTCCTAAGGAAAGATTACACGGTAGATAAATGTTCTAAGTCTTTCTTTAAAATGTCAATTTTTGTACTTGATTGGTAGATTGGGTATAAAATCTAGATCAGAAATCATTTTCATTCGAAATAACTTTCAAGAATTGTTTTTGAATGCATTGTCCCGTTGTCTTCTAACAAGCATAGTCTGATAGCATTCTAATTCTCTGTCCTTTGTTGTGTAGCTTGTTTTGGGGGTTTGTTTTGCTGGTGTGTTTTTTGTCTCTAGAAGTTTTGCATTTCTTCTCTATCCCTTATGTTCTTAAATTTCACATTGATGAGCTTTGGTATTTATCTTATTTTACTTCCTATGTTTGATTCCAGCACTAGGTAGGCACTTTTAATATGAGGTTAGCGTCTCTTAATTTTGGAAAATTTACTTGTATTATTTCTTTGATAATTTCTTTCCCTCTTTTTTTTCTGTTCTTTTCCAGGAACCCCTCTTAGTCTGATGTTGGATCTCCTGGACTTATCTTCTATGATTTTTATCATTTATTTCTTTTCAAACTCATTTTCTTGGAGATTTTCTTAACTTTTTCTTCTAATTCTCCTGAATTAGTTAAGAGTATATCTAAGTACATATTACATAAAACCCAAAGTAATGGTAGTGTAAATAAATAGTTTGTTTTTCTTTCATGTAAAGTAGGTTCGGAAGTAGGCCGTCCAGGGCTGGCCCAGTACTTCCTGAAATCACCAGGGGCCTGACTCCTCTCTGACTGTCTGTGTCCTCAGTGCATGGCTTCTGTCCTCAAGGTCATGGCTGCTGGAGTCCAGCCGTCACACCCATATTCCAGGCATCAGGAAGGAGGTAGCCAGCTCTCATTTCCCTTCAAGGAGCCTTCCTGGAAGTCCCACACCACACTTAATTAGTTGTATGTTGCACCTAGCTACAGAGGAACCAGGGAAATGTATGCTTAGTTGAGTAAACTGCCAAATAAAATCAGGGTTCAGTTGATGGCATTTCTCTTTCTTAGTGGTCATGGTACATCGTACATTTAGTGGTGAATTAGATGAATGGAATATGGTAGCATTCTCTGCCACACCTGTCCAGTGTTGAATTTTGACCATAAACTTTAAAATTTTTAAGAACTCCGTTTTGTTCTTTGATTACATTCTGAGCTTGCTGTATAGATACAATTTTTCTCCTCTATTTCTGGGAATATGAAGTGAAAATTATTTTTTAAGTTTTCTTCTTCCTTTTTTGTCTTTGTTTCCCTTTAATCTTTTTTTTTTTTTTTTTTTNTTTCTTCTTCCTTTTTTGTCTTTGTTTCCCTGTAATCTTTTTTTTTTTTTTTTTTTCCTGTCTGTTTTGGTCTCTGTCTTTCAAGTTGGGTTTTTTCCTCAAATATCAATAACCCTTGGCCATATTTTTTGGCCCCTATTTTTTTTTAAAGAATAGTTTATTGATTTTTAGAGAGAGGGCAAAGGAGAGGGAGAGAGAAAAACATCGATGTGAGAGCAACATCCATTGGCTGCCTCTAGCACACCCCCTACTGGGAATTGAACCCGTAACCCAGGGATGTTCCCTTGACCAGGAATCGAACCAGCAACCTCTTGGTGTACAGGCTAACACCCAACCCACTGAGCCACACTGGCCAGGGCTGGCCCATACTTTTTAAAAACAGCTTTATTTTCATATAATTCACTTACCATACAATTCACCCACTTGAAGTGTACAATTCAGTGTTTTTTTAGTATAGTCACAGAGCTGTGCAAACAATGAATTTTAGAACATTTTCATCACCCCAGAAGTAAACCCGTACCCTTGAACTGTCATCACCCGCCTGTACTCCCCCAGCCCTAGCAACCACTAATCTACTTTCTATCTCTATAGCTTCACCTTTTGGGGACATTTCATGTAAATGGAATCATATAATATGTGGTGTGTTTTGCATCTGGCTTCTTTCACTGAGCACAAGCGAAGAAGGTTCATCCATATTGTAGTAGATGTTAGTACTTCATTCCTTTTTAAGGCTGAACAATATTCCATTGTAAGGATACACCACATTTTGTTTTGTTTATCTTTTCATCAGTTGATGGCCACTTGGTTGTTTCCACCTTTTGGTTATTATGAATGATGTTGCTATGAACATTTCTGTACAAGCTTTTGTGTGGACATAATGTTTTCATTTCTCTTGGGCATATACTTAGTTGTGCCCAACACTTGACATTCTCTGTGATTATTGCATTCATAGATCTTCTTTGGAGAAATGTCTGTTTGGCTCCTTTGCCCATTTTTCAATTGGGTTATTTGTCTTTTTATTGACTTAAGAGTTTTTTATGTATTATAGATAGAAGTCCCTTATCAGATATATGATTTGCAGGTATCTCCCATTCTGTCAGCTGTCTTTTCACATTCTTGACAATGTCCTTTGAAACACAAAAGTTTTTCATTCTGTTGAAGTCCAGTTTATTCTTTCTTTTGTTGTTTGTGCCATTTTTCCATATTTAATAATGCCTGGGAGC